TCCGACAACGATTTGCTGTCCACGTTTCAGTCTTTCAATATCCTGAGCAACATAGGTACCCCCTATGAATACGTGACAAGTAACGTCCATGTAGTCTCCCAATGCCACTACGACCTGCGAATTCATAAAAAACACGAATATTAATAACCATGGCACGTTGTTGATGAGCCAATATAAGATTATTTTGAAAGTAGACAGATATAATGCGTAGATAATAAAAAATTAAATGTATTCATGAAAAGAATAGAGATGCCTTTTGAATTTGTTTGGCTAGCTCTCGAGTTGGGGCTAATACAAGGGCCTGACATTTAGGATTTGAAGTATCGATCTGTTGTAGCATGGCTATAGAGAACGTTGCAGTCTTTCCAGTTCCTGATTGAGCCTGTGCAATAACATCATGACCCTGTATAGAAGGAAGAATGGCTCGCTGTTGTATAGCTGAAGGCTTTTCGAAGCCATAGGCAAATATTCCTCTCAAAAGGTTTTCATTCAAATTCATATCATCGAATGTCTCACATATATGGTCGTATGAACTTTCAACTTCTTGATCTCCCACCATCCTGTAAAATAAAAAAATTAAAGATATTAAAAGCCTTTATAGCAACATTTTAATAATGATGAAGTAATAAATGATCTTCTATGTAATAAAAAGGAAGGCTAAGAAGAAAAGAACATAATAAAGAAGTCTGTGCAAAGGCAATTGGCAAAATAAATAACAAAGAGAAGTTCTTGCCCTTGAGTGTAGGCAAATATGCTATAACGAATATCGCGTATGATACTATGTAAAAACATAAACAAAGTTAAGGCTTAAAAATCTCAAAATGCATTTTTTTATTAACCAAAAACAGGAGATTATATAAATAATTGAATTTATGTATAATGTGGATGCTATAAATATGGGGCGTTTTGCTTTTACTTTAAATATATAAGGAAGCAATTTTGTCATTAATATAAAATAGAGAATTTAAAAATGTCACATCCTTATTCCACTAAAATAGCAATAGAAGATGCTTTGAATTACTCTCTAAACTATACCTCTCTGCTTAGTGATCATTGTTCAACCTATTTCAACATGTTATATTCTCCAAAAATATGATACTACTAAGGTTGCTCTCATTCTAGATATGAAAAGTAGCTGGGTTTCAATGAATCTCTTGAGATAACGTTATTGGTTGGCTTTTATTTTGCATGAAAATGTATGGAAAAGAGATTCGAATGTCTATCTCACCAGAAGAGGACAGTTGAATCCCATTATATAGCTTAAATCATTAGACCTGTTAACCTGTCAATGAGTACCCTATATTTTACCTTCGATTGTAAGTTATACAAACAAACACAAGGACTAGCGATGTGAATTGCAAGGCTTTTATCTTGCCGAACATTTATACGGAAAGACTGGAGGAACACTTCCTGGAAGAGGCAATAATAACCTCCAAATTGTTGGATATATATATGGATGACTATTTTGTCATCTGGCCTCGAGGTAAATAAAGCTTAGTTTCCAACTTTCACTAAACCAAGGAGAAGGCAACATTAGTTTCATATTGGAAAATGAAGAGAATAAGTCCTTATCCTTTATGGATATTCTCATCATTATAACAGATTGTAAGTTAAGAAGATCTATATATAGGAAAGCAACATGTGTCAAATCTGCTTAATTTTTGTTGAAAATATAATTACAAACTGAATAAATAAAGACCAAGATGGTGTGGCCTTATGTGTGGTCGCAGTCTCCTTTCGTTGTAAAGAAGTTGATGACATTGTTTTCTCCGATTGGTCATATTGGTAAAAAGACTTAGAGGAAAGCAGACTCTGATCGACATTCCCAGCATAAGAGTGAAAAGGGTGAGAATACCAGCTTGGAGGGTGGAGGAATTCTCATGAATGTCGCTCAAAATGGCACTCCACACTACATCTAAACAAGAATATGTAAATAACCCAGGGCAGAAGGAGAGATACCACAACTGCTTAGCACACGTTCGGTTAAAGGATCTGCTTTATCTATCTCTTTTGCAAGGTGTAGCATGGTGCTAATAAGGGTAAAACTCATTGACGATGCCAAATACGATGCCGGCGAAACGGTTGAGAATGTACCACGTTCACGGTCCGACTTGGGAAATTATCATACATACAATGGACTCTGGACTAGATGTGTTCCTCTAAATCTTCCAACCAATATGACTAAGTTGTGAAAACACGGTCAAACAACTTCTATAGTTACAAAATTAAGGTTGGGCTTTTGAAGTCAATGATTATTAAAAGTATGAGGCTAGTGGATAGCAAACATTCGAGTGAGTTGGAATGGCTTCCAAATTTATTCCTGGAAAATAATTATCCTTTGAGCCGAATTGAGAATAATAGCTCTTTACTGAGTAATAACCTTTCATACGGGGACGATTTAACCAAAGATGGACAAACTGAGACCTTTTCACATGTCCTAATTTTACCATCATGACTTCATTCAGAAAAGATAGGTGAATTATTAAGGACATAAAGGATAAAAACTGTGATTAGAGAAACCTTCACACGTTCTTCTTCTATACCATCTTTAAAAGAGTAATAATACTCATTATCGAGATCTGGCTTTTACAAGATTGCTTGTTCATATGGTCGATCTTATGTTGGTGAGACATGCAGACCTATTCGACAAAGATTGGGAGAACACAAAAATGCTTGTAAAGCAAGCTGAGTAAAACGGTCAGAAGTGGCCGAACACTTGGTAGAAATTGAAAATGAGATATAATGGTCTCAAACTAATAAGTTTGCTGATTATGGTATGCCTGCGGCTAAAAGAAAGATAAGAGTTAATTGAAATTAATAGATTATGATATACAATGGATGTGAAGAACGGTTTTAAAAAATTAAGAAGGAACAACTAATGCCTGAGTGACAGATTGAAAGAGAGTAGGTTTTGAACCGCGATTCAAAAGAAGGTGAGCAGAATAAAGATATTTACCAAAATCATTATCTATCAATCTATTTTTTTTTAAATTCTCCTATGCTTAAATGAGATTATATGCGGTAAGATAGAGACTGATATTATTTTTGTCATAGTTCTGATGATGTCCATTATATGATGGACGACCGCATATTTTATATTCAACGCCAATATCTATGAGCACATATTTGGACTACCTATTGAATCTCCACTCATCTCTTTTAGCAAATGAATATGAGAAAAAATTTTAAAAAAGTATTGAAGAAGTCAGCTCTGCAATCAAAAATGTTTATTCGATACCTGGATGATTACCTTGCAGTTTTTCTGCATTATAGGAAAAGTAAAGAGATGAATTCCTTTACGGAAGTGGAGGATGAAAGAGTACCTTTCCTAGATGTTGTGATCATTCGCTCCAGCGGGATAATCAAGAGAGAATATTGTGAAAGAAACCGCATGCAGTAATAATCCTCAATTTCTAGTCTCATTACAACTATAGATTGAAGATCGGAATAAAGAAGAGTTTGATAATTTTGCCTAAGACTAACGGACAAGGAGTTCTGAGACGAGGAGTTGGACAAACTGACTAGCATTTTCCTTATAAACTTGTACCTCAGGGAATTTAGGATATCAACTTGGGTATTATGAAAGTAAAATCAGGAGTCGGGAGGACGACCAAAAGTGGATATACATGCCCTTCTGTAAACTGAGTTAAAAATTGCTACCCTTAATAAGAGAATGAAATATCAAGGTGATAACAAAGAAAAAGACAACACTTCACCAGCCTGCCGAATAAATACGAGAAAGGTGACAAATTGGATTTCTCGGGAGTTTATCGCATCAGATACGGCTACTAAGCACAGGAGTATAATTGGGAAACAGGAAGAAAAATTGACCTACGAATCAAGAAACACAAAAGATTCAGTAGGAACATAGATACGGAAAAGTACCGAATAACAGAACACATTACAGGGACGGGACATGAAGACGACCGAAAATTGGCGGAAAGGCTGGTTGCTTATTGTTAAAATATGAGAAAACGCTATATACGAGATATAACGACCAAGATGGTGTGGCCTTTTGTGTGGTCGCAGTCTCCTTTCGTTGTATAAAAGTTGTTTAACCTTTTTTTCGCAACTTGGTCATACTGGTAGGAAGACTTAGAGGAACACACTGTCCTGAGTTCATTGTATGCATAATTATTTCCAAAGTCAGACCATGGACGTTGTACATTCCCAGACGTTTTGCCGGCATCGTCAGTGAGCTTTACCATTTGTAGCACCATATTACAACTTGTCAGAGACGAGTGAAGCCGATCCTTTGACCAAACGTGCGCAAAACAGTTATGGTATCTCTCATTCTGCCCTGGCCTATTCACA